ATCCGTTTGCCTCCTGCACACATCCAACCAGGGATTGAACCTGCAACCCAGGTATGTGCCCTGACCAGAAATCAAACCTGACACCTTTTGGTGCATGGAACAATGCTCCAACCAACTGAGCCACACTGGCCAGGGCAATATTTTGTATTTTAATTAGAATACTTCCTTAAGTAATAATTTACTACTAACCCAAAGAGATTGGTTCTAGATATATCACAAAACAGGCTCTGCTATCAGACCACTAGAAAGGATCCAGAAACAGGACAATGTAGTTGTGTGCATTAAAAGTCCAAGTCAACCCTAGGATTCAGGAGGTGCGGGTGGGGGAGAATGTCACACTATCACATGTAAAAATACATGAGGCAGAGGATCTACAAATTTCTCCAGAAGATCATAAGACAACAACCACCACACAGAGTACTGTCATGTAGCCCAGCCAGGAGAAAAAATATATATATTTTCAAGGAATAGCAGAAGGGCAAAGAAACAAGAAAGAAAGAAATTTTTATTTTTTACTCTTTTAAAAGAGTAAAAAAGGCAAAAATACAGAAAAAATAAATAAGTAAAAATAAAAAATAGCAGAAGGAATCTTACCAATACATTTCTCCAAATTTAAGCTGAAGTGTTGGCCCAAAATCCTGATTAACTCTAGGTTACTGTAATGAAATATATAACTATAGATTTCCTATTCTTTAAAGGCTTATATGCATTATATTGCATATATTGCAAACAATAAATTGTATAAGAAATATTAACTCACCTGTTCATGCTGCCAAAAGAAAACAATGTGCTAAAAAAAAAAGTGCAAATGAAGCTAATATATCCCAAATACCAAATATGTAGTTGCATTATATAATATGACAGCAAATTAGGATCAAGAAAGTGCTAAAGAGGGTCACATTTTTTTCAAAAAAATTATTTCAGTAGAAAAGACGACTTTGGAGAAAGAGAAAATGGTCGGGGAGAGATGTAGTATGATGGAGCTTCTTTGACTAGAGGTCAGGGACTGGCTGGAAAGGAGACCCTGCCCACAGAGAAAACAGAAGCAAGAGATCTGCTGTGGTGCTTGCAAAGTACTCTCTGACCCAAGATACCTGAGTGACATGTTATGTGAAACACAGAAGCAGCCAGCACCTCCTTTTAGGTGAAGGATGTCATCTTACACTTTTCCCTAGAGTAGGTAGCTTGATGGCATCTCTTCCCAGGCAAGATGAATCAATAGTAGACACAACCTCTCCACAGAGTAACTTTGATATTTTAAAAGGAAGTAGGGCCCTGGCCGGTTTTGCTCAGCGGTTAGAGCATCGGCCTGCGGTCCAGAAGTCCCGGGTTCGGTTCCCACTAAGGGCGCGTACCTCGGTTGCAGTTTGTCCCTGGCCCTGGTTGGTCGTGCAGGTGGCAGCCACTCGATGTGTCCCTTTCACGTCGATGTTTCTCTCTCTCTCTTTTTCTCTCTCTCTCTCCCTCCCACTCTATCTGTACAAAAAGTGGAAAAATGTCTCGGGTGAGGATAAAAAAAAAAAAAAAAGGAAGTAGGCTTTCAAGTAGTAGAACCCAAAGAATAAAATATGTATACTTATCCCCACTTAGAGGCAAGCAAAAAGGAGCTTACTTTTCAAAATACTTTGTTTTCCACAATAGCAAATATAAATATATAAAAATAAGATGGGGTTCCTATTCTATAGAATAATGAATCATCCAAAAGCGTTGCGTGAAATTCATTTTAATTTCTACCTATGACATTCAAATGACTTTAAACAGTGAAAGGATATCTCAAAAATATAAAATGCTTTACAGGTCATACATTTAAAACCATAGAACACTTTGTAATAATAAAGGTAAATATAAATAATGTTTTTTTTTCTAATATATCAGGAAGCAATAAAATATCTAGAGGTTTCATTTATTTTCCAAAATTAAGGATTTTCCCATATCGATTTGGTTAGAGATATTCCCATATCGTTTTGGTTAGAAATTCAAGAAGGTTGACTCTCCACTCTGTGAAAATTGACAATAAATAAAATCATTGCTAATGAATAAAATTAGCTTAAAATTGAGATTAAGGGTTCTATAAACCATGAATATATTTATATATATATGTACATATATATTTATATATATATACTATATAAACACATATCAGATTTTTGTAACTAAAAAATATTTTAATTAAGTTATTCTTTCTATTATTAGGAAGCTATATTAACCTGGAAACTAATTCCTGAAATATATGAATAATTCTAGCTGTTGGTTCTCTCACAGTATTAGAAAATTTTTTCTTCGTTCTAAACGTCCCTCAATGTACTTACTATCGGTGTACTACCATGGTGATGATTTAGAAACTGATATTCTTGTATAGAACTTTCTCTATATCAATATTAACAAGATCAAAAGTATTCTTTTATTTGAAGCTAGAAGTATAAAAATTAAACTGATATTTAAAACAAAAAGCAAATAAACCCAAAACTTGGTCAGAAAAATTTATTTTTATATTGATAAGTTGATGAATATAGTAAATATATAAAAATGAATTAAATGGGAATGTGTAGACATATGTCTTTATATGTTTAAATGATAAAAGCTTACAGTCATTATTCAAGCCATTAATTCCAAGTATATTGAGCAATGAGACAGAATTATGATGTGGCGCCCTCTGCTGGGTTTTCTAGTCACAAACTCAACCTAATACCACAATTTATGTAAAATCAAACACAAGGCATCAAGTAAAAAACTACTTTTTCAATCCTTGATCACTTCAAGCCTTGGCAAAGATTCCATAAAAAGTATAATCAATTTTTACTTTATTGCAACAGGACTTTAACAATTATAACCAGTGTAGATTTTTCTTTTAAAATAAAAAGAATGTAATGTAAAAGTTACACTAAACAAGATGTTTTAATGGGTCTTATTTTTGTCACTACTTCTATCACTTGACATATTCAGTTTTTGAAGGCCACACTTATGGCAAGATATTTTAACAAATTACTATTTGGGTAACTTATTTTTCCTGCTTTGTTAGTTCAATCAAAATAGTTTATTTTTAAAACATTAGAATAACCCTTATATTACCTTCATTATTAGAAAAAAACTGAAAGAAGTTTTAGAGATACTTATCACCAGTAGTAATAACTTCCATTTATTGAGTGTCAACTATGAGAATGTAATATATGTTACAAACTTTCTATACATTATATCCAGTTCCAAGAGATTTTTTTAAAAAATATTGTGGCTCATGGAGATTATATAAATTGCTTAAAATGAATTTCAGAATCAAGATTTAAATGTAGGTTGGTCTCATTCCAAAGACTCAAACCTTACTACTGAACAATAGACAGCAGTGAAACAATACTTTTAACATGCAATTGCTCCATTTGTCAATGCAACAACTGGAGGTTTGGGAGGCAAGCAGAGGGGAGGAATGTAAGAGCAGTATAAGATAATCAATATAAAAAATAATAGGTTAGACCTTTAGGAAAATATTTTTGTTTTACATATTCTGCCAGCTAGCGGCCCTATTTCACACTGAGCCACTGGGAACAATATTTGATTTTTACATTACTGAATCAAAATTTCTACATTTAACATTCTCCAGTCATGTTCCTTAATTATGTATGCATAAGCCTGACTTAATGATATTTTACATTACCCTAGAACTAAAGGAGAATGTCTCCTCAACTACCATTAGCATCCCTTGGCCAGTCCTTGCCCAAAACCCCAATGAAAATATAAGATATGCCCTGGCCGGTTTGGCTCAGCAGTTAGAGCATCGGCCTGCGGACCAGAGAGTCCCGGGTTCGGCTCCCACTAAGGGTACGTACCTTGGTTGCAGTTTGTCCCTGGCCCCATGGGGTTGAGTGGGTGGCAATCAGTCAATTGTCTTTCTCATATCGATGTTTCTCTCTCTCTTCCTCCCTCTCTCCTTCCCGCTCTATCTGAAGATAAATGCAAAAATGTCCTCGGGTGAGGATAAAAAAAAAAAGAAAGAAAATATGAGATATGCCTAAATAAGAAAGAATTCATGAAGTGCCAACATGTAGAAACTAAAAGATACACATGTCACTATCCATGAAAAAGAAACCTACCCTATTTTAAATATTTTAGGAATTTTTAGGATATTTATAAATCCCTTAGTACTAAATATGTTTTTCTACACAATGAAAAGTTTGCCATAATGTGAGCATAAGAACTGTTAAACATTTTTCTATGCAGACCTAAAATTAGGGAGCATTTAATAAAGCAGTACTATTAGCAAAGAAATTTGTTTTAGTTCAGACAATAAGTAGTTACAGTTCTGTAATTTCCTTTGAGATAAAAAGTATTTGAGTACAATTTTTACATTTAAAACCATCATATCTCATTGAGAAATATCCTATGCAATACACGTGAAGGAGTTCACAGCTTCTATCATGTTGTTTAATGCAGTGATATAAAGATATTTTTGTTTGATTTCTTTAACCATATGACCTTATAATTATTTAAATGATTTTTCTCAATGGAGAAATCACAACTTCCAGGCTTAGATGAAAAAACAATATACTCCATAATATTATAATAGTACCCAAAACAAAAACATTCTAGTATTAAAGTATATTAGCAACAAGGAAAACGTTCTGGGTTCATTCTGTAGTGAGAGAGAAGAAGCAGGAAGTGGAAAAGAAAGCACCTAAAACACAACAAAGAAGAAAGAGACAGCCCTTCTGTTGGATTAACTGAGAAGGTCAAAATGAAAACAAGAAACAAAAGGGATAGGACTGGAGAGTCCAGTGTTCCTCTGACCTACATTCTGTCACACACACACAACTGCCAAGTATAAAACTGCCTTATCCCACTTAGTAGGCACATTGTATATGAGGCTCATTTTGCAGCTAAAAACAGTAAGAGTTCCTATTATACGTGTGTATAATATTCAGTATAATAAATATTAGTGAGAAAAAACACCAATTATAAATTCACTTTTTAAAACACTAAAAATATTTCTATACAATGACCATATAACTTACAAACATTTCCTGTATTGTCAAAGCTGGTCAGAACATCTTCAATATTCAAAGATCCACTATTATGCCTAGAAATAAATAAAACATTTTTTCAATGATTCTGAAATATTAAGATTTGCTCATCTTTTAAAAAAGCTGAGACAGCATTGTGATACACTCTATACTAATAAACCCTTCCATGTTGTATTTTTATAATATTTCTGCCCACTAGAGGGAGAAGGAAAAGAAATAACAGTATATAGTCCTACAGTATTTAATAAAATGACATTTCCTGAGGGTTAATCTATATTTTAAAGTACTAATATTTTTATTATTGTTGCTTTAGTTATATAAAAGTGGGTTAATTATTAACATTTTTAAAGATAACAAAACTAAACAAAACCTTACACTTGGAGAATCTCAAAAGAAAAATAATCAAGCTCTAGAACCTCAATAATACATAAATGTCCTCTACAATGGCCCAAAGAATTCAGAAAGTCAGTCGCAAGGAACTAACCAACCTTCTGGTCTGCACATTCCATCTACAGGGAATTTTACATGTCAGAGGGCATGTTCTTTGTATCTTTTGCCCATTAATCTTTTTTTTATTATTATTTAAAAAGTAATATTGTTAAGGAATTTGACCCCATTGTAACTGTTTTTTAAATTAATTTATTTTTGTTACAGATGTTTCTAATTTTCCCCCCAGATACCCTCCTCCCTATCCCGCACCCCCACCCACCCCTGCCGCCCCAAGCATTGTTGTCTATGTCCACTGGTTAGGCATACATGCATATAAATTCTTAGGTTTATCTCATCCCTCCCCTCACGCCCTCCTCTGAGGTTTGTCAGTCTGAACCATACTCCTTTCTATGTCTCAATTGCCCATTAACTTTAATTCCCCTCCTCTTAATTCTAATCTCTCTTCACTTGAAAGCCCTTTAACTATTTAATTTAATTATTGATATTTTATTAATCCTTATAAAAGATACTAGTCTTCATATACAAATGAACCCAACAGTCAATAGGTCATAGAGTTTAAGTTACTTTTCCAAGGGTGGTAAAATATTGGTACTAATGCATCTACAATATTCTACATTCTACCCTATATACCTTACACCTATAGTTCTTTAGTTATAACAGTTTATAATAACCATTCATAATAAAATTTACCTCATCAACACTAACTTTGTCATTAAAACATATCATAAATAATATATAGTGTTATGAAATGAATTGTTTTTCCCCAAAATTCACATGTTGAATCTCTAAACCCTGGTACCACAAAATGAAATGATAATTATGTGACATGAAAGAAGGGGTGTTAGCTAATGCCATGGTGATAATCGTTTTACAATATATAAGTATATCAAATTAAAAAATTGTACACTTTAAGTTTACACAATGTTATATTTCATTATATCTTAATAAAACGGGGGGAAAAATATTACCAATAGCCAGTTTCTTCTTCCCAAAGCCAACCAATTTTTTCACAAGTACCTATCCTAGGAACTGAGGAGCTTTAAGTTTTTCCCAAGAATGACCTGTGGAGTAAGGACTAAGGAGCAAGTCACGAGGACAAATAATTATTTGGAGAGGAAAAATAAAAGCTACTAGAGAAAAAATTTGATGCCTAAAGGTATCAAGAGGTTGAAACTAGAGGTTAACAGTAAGCCAGGGATAAATATGACACCAGCACACAAACAACAAAAGAAAAAAATAGGTAAGTTGAACTTATTCGAAATTTAAAATGTTTGTGCATCAAAGGACACTCTCTAGAAAGTGAAAAGACAACCCACATGATGGGAGAAAATACTTGCAAATCACATATCTGATATGAGTCAAGTAACCAGAATATATAAGAAACTTTCAGAATTCAACAACAAAAAGAAAACCCAATTAAAAATGGGAAAATTACTTGAACAGACATTTTTGCAAAGATATACAAATGGCCAATGACCACATAAGAAGATGGATAACATAATAGTCTTTAGGGAACTGATAATCAAAACCACTGTGAAATGTTTCACACCCACTACAATGGCTATAATTAAAATTAATAACAATAAAGGAAACAGCAAATACTGGCAAGCATAGGGAGAAACTGGAGCCCTCATACGTTCCTACTAGGTAAAATTGTACATTCACTGTGGAAAACAATTTGGCCATTCTTTAAAAAGTTAAACATGGAGGGACTAAGCAAAAAACAAACAAAAACCACCTCATTGACATAGACAACATGGTGATTACCAGAAAGGAGGGTAGGGGGAGCTAAAAGAGGGTATAGGAGGATAAATTGTGATGGAAGAAGATTTGACTTGGGGTGGTGAATACACAATACAATATGCAGATGATGTATTATAGAATTGTACACCTGAAATCTATGTAATTTTATTAACCAAAGTCACCCCAATATATTAAATAAAAGAAAATAAAAATAAGTTAAACAAGCAGTTACCACATGACCCAGCAATTTTGTCCCTCCCTCAGTACCTACTTAAGACAATTAAAAACATATATTTAGATAGGGAGGAAGTTGTCTGTGGGAGGGAAAAGGAGAAACATCTGTAGCAAAAATAAATTAATAAAAAAAAAAAAAAAAGGAAGGAAAAAAAACACACAAATATTCACACAAAAACTTGTACATGAATGTTCATAGTACCATTATCCATATTAGCCAAAGAATGGAAATAACCCAAATGTCCATCAACTGATGAATGAATAAACAAAATGTGGTACTAACCACACAGTGGAATATTATTTAGCCATAAAAAAGAATAACGTACTGATACATGCTATAACATGAATGAATCAAAAAAGTTATGCTAAGTGAAAGAAGCTAGACATAAATGGCCACATATTATAAGATTCTGTCTGCAAATCTAAGCAGACAGACTGTAGATTAGTGGTTGCCAGGGATTAGAGGTCAGAGGAAATGGGGAGTTAATATTAATGGGTATGAGGTTTGTTTTTGGAGTGTTGAAAAGTTTCAAGAATTACTGGTGATAGTTGCATAACTATTATGAATATACTAAAAACCACTGAACTGTATACTTTAAAATGGTTAAAATGATGAATTGTATCTTGCTTGATTAAAACTTGGTCCAAAAACAAAAAACAAAAAAACTAAGCCAGACTGTAGAATGGGCCCTAAAAGACTGCATAAGAATTAATAGGAGGGGTTTTCAGAAGGAAAAAGTTTGAAAAAGTTGATTCTAGGTGCAATTTACTTTGGAGTAGTACTATTAAAAAAAAATGGCTAAGGAGATATTTTAAGTTTTATATCTGCTAGTTACAGGAAACTAGTAAATAAGTTCTACATATAATACATAAAATTTTTTTAAAACATCAAGAGAACATTTCAATTCATTGAAATTTTGAACACATAGGTGTATGTAAGGAAATGACATAAACAACCAACCATGACAGGAATTTTTTTAAAAACTAGAAAACAGCTATAATTAGCCTATAGAAATCTATGATTAAGTTCCATTAGAACACGACTTCAAAGGATTAGTCGTTTAATTTTCTACATACTCTGGATCATATTTGAAAGGTTCTATTAAGTTCCTTCTAAAATACACACAAAGACTTCCGGTCAAGATGGCGGCATAGGACAGTATCTCGTCCTCCCACAACCACATCAAAGTTACAATTAAACTACAGAACAACCATCACTCAAAACTGCCTGAAATTGAGCTGAATGGAAGTCCTACAACTACGAAATTAAAGAAGCAGCCACATGGAGACTGGTAGGAGGGGCGGAGACAGACGGGCTAGTCCCACACCCACGTGTAGCGGATAAAAATCAGGAGGACACATCGGCTGGGAAGGTCCTCTCTGAGGACTAAGGGGTCCCGGCCCCACACCAGGCGCTCTGCTCAGGGTTCCAGTGCCAAGAAGAGAATCCCCATAACTTCTGGCTGGAAAAACCAGCGGGAACTGAGGCTCAGGGAGGCTGAGGCAGCTGGAGCCCCAGGCAGCTCCTCTTAAAGGGCCCGCTCAAGGAATTACTCGGACTCACTCCCTCTAAGCTTGAAGGGGAGGCAGCTCAAAGGGTGCCAGAGACATACAGGGAAGAACTGAACTGTTTGGCATTGAAGCAAGGGCTAAAGAGGGGGCTTTCTCTGGGACAGACGTACTGTCAGAGGCCTTTGTTCCTTTGGTGAGCCCTTCCTTGGGGTGGCAGACACCCACCATATCTGGGACTCCAGCAACATGGCTCACACTGGTAGCCCCACCCTGGTGATTCCCTGAGGCCCCGCCCCACCCAACTTTCAGGCCCACCCAAGCTGTTGCCAGTTGCTTACCCATAGGATTGGCCTGACTTGGATCCTGCTTCAGGTTTTCCTAAATTCTTTCAAATAAGCAGCATCTGGTCTTAGCTAGCCCCATACCTCTCGATAACTAATATATATAAACAGACACAGGGAGGCAGTCATAATGAGGAGACAAAGAAACAGGTCCCAAATGAAAGAACAGAACAAAACCCCAAGAAAAGAATTAAACAAAATGGAGATAAGCAACCTAACAGATGCTGAGTTCAAAATATTGCTTATAAGCATACTCAGTGAACTTAGTGAGAACCTCAGCGAACTTAGTGAGGGCCTCAAGAGCATAAAAAAGGACCAGTCAGAAATGAAGGAGGCACTAACTGGAATAAAAAATAATTTAAACAGATTCAATAGTAAAGTAGGTAAAGCCAAGAAGCAAACCATCGATTTGGAATATAAGGAAGCAAAAAACACCCAATCAGAACAGCAAAAAGAAAAAAGAATACAAAAAAATGAGGACAGTGTAAGGACAACTTCAAGCGTGCCAACATTCACATCTTGGGGGTGCCAGAAAGAGAAGAGAGAGAACAAGAAATCGAAAACCTATTTGAAACAATAATGGCAGAAAACTTCCCTAACTTGGTGAAGGAAAAAGACATACAAGTCCAGGAAGCACAGAGAGTCCCAAACAAGATGAACCCCAAGAGGCCCACACCAAGACACATCATCATGAACAAAATGCAAAAGGTTCAAGACAAAGAGAGAATCCTAAAAGCAGCAAGAGAAAAGCAGTGAGTTACCTACAAGGGAGTTTC